TTAAAATATAATAATTTTAATAGTTTCGCAGAATATTGATCAAAACACCAGCATAGCATTTATTGAGAGAATGAATTTAACTAACAATTTATTACATGATTTCTCTCAAAATAATGCCTTAAGAAAAGGCGTTGCAATTGTAATACAGGTTTGTAATACACGCTGTGTGACTTCATTAGTTTTTATTTAAAAATAATAATTTTAATGTTTTGGCATAAAATTTATCAAAACACCGGAATACTATTTATTGAGAGAAAGAAATTAACTAACAATTTATTACACAGTTTTTCTCATAAAATTTAACTAAAATTTATTGAACGGTTTTGCTCATAAAATTTAACTAACATTTCATTCATGGTATTGTTCATAAAATTTAACTAACAATTTATTACATGGTTTTGTTCATAAAATTTAACTAACAATTTAATTCATAGTGTTGCTCATAAAATTTAACTAACAATTTATTACATTGTTTTGATCATAAAATTACATCATTTTCGTTAAGTAGCTTCAGAACAGAACACTCATAGTTTGGTGCCAAACTATATGTATTATTGTCGTTATATTAATTACAACATACGTATTTTAATATTTACCAAATTAAGCGAGATCAAAAATCCATTAGTTTTTATTTAGAATATAATAATTTGAATAGTTTGGCAGAAAATTGATCAAAACACCAGAATACCATTTATTGAGAGAATGAATTTAACTAGCAATACATTACATGGTTTCGCTCATAAAATTTAACTAAAATTTATTACGCTATTTTGATCATAAAATTACATCATTTTCGTTAAGTAGCTTCAGAGCCGAACACTCATATTTTTGTGCCAAACTATATGTATTATTGTCGTTATGTTAATTACAACATGCTTATTTTAATATTTACCAAATTTAGCGAGGTCAAAAATCCATTAGTTTTTATTTAGAATATAATAATTTTAATAGTTAGGCAGATAATTGATCAAAACACCAGAATACCATTTATTGAGAGAATGAATTTAACTAGCAATACATTACATGGTTTCGCTCATAAAATTTAACTAAAATTTATTACGCTATTTTGATCATAAAATTACATCATTTTCGTTAAGTAGCTTCAGAGCCGAACACTCATATTTTTGTGCCAAACTATATGTATTATTGTCGTTATGTTAATTACAACATGCTTATTTTAATATTTACCAAATTTAGCGAGGTCAAAAATCCATTAGTTTTTATTTAGAATATAATAATTTTAATAGTTAGGCAGATAATTGATCAAAATACCAGAATACCATTTATTGAGAGAATGAATTTAACTAGCAATACATTACATGGTTTCGCTCATAAAATTTAACTAAAATTTATTACACTGTTTTGCTCATAAAATTTATTTATTAAACTAAAATTTATTAAATGATTTTGTTTAAAATATTTAACTAACAATTTATTACATGATTTTGCTCATAAAATGGAACTAACAATTCATCACATGGTTTTGTTCATAAAATTACACCATTTTCGCCAATTAGCTTCACAACCGGACACTGTACATGGCTTGTCCATAATCGGGTGAGGATAGCCCTTCTTCTAGGGGTTAAATCTTCGCAGGTCCACCTATCGACTGTACTCTTGATAATCGAGAGCTCTTCTATACCCACTTTCTTTAATTTTTTTTTTATTGCAGTTTTAATTTCAGGGTGGATAATCGAGGTAGTCCGAAGGGTGGGGCATCCAATCTATACACTAAAACAAACACCAAATCTTGGCATTGCAATCATTATCTTTAATTTCAAAAATAGATAAATGATTGAAAGAAACAGTAAGTATGCAATAATTAGCAAAATTTCCACTGGGTCGAAATTCGAACCCGTTTGTGGCACACAGCCTCGAAAAAGTGCTGGTTCTGTTTTTAGAAAAACAATCCTCTTTTGGTCGACGGCCCGAAAAATACATGCGGATTGAAGCAACGGCAGGCCATGATGTTTGGCCCTGATAATTACATCGGCCCAGGGTAAAATAGCCAATTGTTTTTACCCAGCTTTTGCCACTTGGAAGAGGGTTTGGGGTGTCACTCCCCGGGCCAATTACCTCCGAATCACTGGTCCTAGCATTGTCAGCAATCCGGCCGGTGCGACCTATTTTTTGACCGCACTTTTACAAATCCGCGTCCGTTTATTTTTAATACGACCTGTAATTTTTTCGCCACCTTGAATTAAATCAGGGTAGATGATTAAGCGGAGACCGAGCTTTACACTTAATCCGGCTTACTTTATTGCATATTAAACCTGCGATTAATTATTTCACGGTATAAAATTATAGTTTTATGCAGCTAAAAGTCGACCTTTTACAAGTTACGTTTTCGTATTTTCGATTATTAAAGTTTTACATTACAAATCAGTTGCGGAAATGAATAAACAAACAGCTTTTATTGTTTTTTAATTATTATTTTACATTCTCTTCTTCTTTCTCACTCGCCCTCTTTCTGGTTCTTCCTCTTTGTCACCCACTTCCTCGCTCTCGCACACTACTACGCTTTCACCATTTCTTCCTCGCTTTCAGTCTCTCGCTCTTCTCCCTCTCTCTCTTTTTCTCTCTATATCTATCTCTTTCTCTCTATCTTTATCTGTCTATCTATTTATCTGTCTATGTATCTCTATTTCTCTGTCCATCTTTATCTCTTTCTCCCAATTTTTGGCCTATTTTTTTATATCCTAGCTCTATATCTTCTTCTTTCTTGTTTGTATGACTGTCAATGCCGCTCTCTTTACATATTGTTTATTCGTTATTTTCTTCCTCTTTCTTTCTCTCACTCTCTCCTTCCCTTTTTCTTTTTCTGACGTTTTTCTCTCTCAGTAGAAAGATACATGAGGCCTTACTTTGCGTCGATAAATTAATCTACCATTTACTCATCATATTTTTTCCCCTTAACCAATTATACAATCATTTGCTTTCTCTGTTTATTTTTTGCTACCTAACTCGATTCATTCAACAAAAAACTTGATTTTGTTTATTTTAGTTAGTTTCTTTCTCATTTCCTTTTTGCTATTGGGTCTCTCTCTCTCTCTCTCTCTCTCTCTCTCTCTCTCTCTCTCTTCTAAATATTTACCTTACGCCATATATAAAAATTTATTTAATTTCTTTACCAGACTCCTAACCTAGTTACATACAGAATGCGGAGAGCATAAAGTTTAACTGTTTAAAAATTAATTTTAAACAAGTTTATTTATTTCATAGAATGCACTTGATAACAGCTTAATGATATGTTGAACCGGCTCAGGATCACTTAATGGGTCTCCCGCCAATCGGGTTTTTTTATGAGTTATTCCAACGCGTTCGGCATTGCGCCATCATCAGTGAGGAACTCCTTCCTGAAACAACATGAGTTCAACGACTCGCAGACCAAAAGCCAACATCAGCATAACTATAGAGTTAATTTCACTAATTTCGTGGTCCGCTTGACCAATTAATTTACTACAATTAATTAAGATTTTAGTTGAGATAAAAAATTCAATGGCACGAGCCACTAAAGCTCTCCGTGGCCATTTCATTTGTCGTCGATAATTCAACCCGATTGCACGACATTTGAAAAATGGCAAAAAGGAGGGAAAATTCAAAAGGTGGGGTTGAGATGGGAAGTTGGTGTCCTTGAGGATCGAGGTCACGATAGGTCAGGTGGTAGAGCAGCGGAGTATCAAGCCGAAGATCGTGGGTTCGAATCCCGCTCGTGCCATTAACTTTTTTATCTCAACAAAAAACCTTAATTAATTGAAGTATAGAGTTAATGTATAGAGTTATAATGTCTTCTTGTTCAGTATTAAAACAAAAACTAAATAAACAAAGCTGGTTAATTTTAAAAATTATTTATTTCAAGTGCTAATAATTCGATCAATAGGTTTTTGGCGTATTTGATATTGATATCTTAATGGATTTGTTCTGTCAAAATTCTTAAATTGAAAGGTGTGGGGTTTAGTGACCGTTAGTTAATGATTACTTGGAGATCGTGAGATGCGGTCTGGTGTGACGTAATTTAAAAAAAAAATTTCTTTATCGCGCCAACGTTTCGATCTTTATTGAGAACATCTTCAGGGACTGGGATTTATAAGATCTTGTTTACATCGTACGTGTATTTGTAAAATTTAAATGATATTTATAAAACCCGGGCACTGAAGATGATCTCAATAAAGTTCGAAACGTTGGCACGATAAAGAAAATGTTGTTCTAAAACCTACGTCACACCAGACCGCATCTCATGATTTCCGTATAATCTTGTAATTGAAAGTATGAGTGATTAAATTGATGTATTGGATCTTCTTGAGGTCATTTTACAGGTGAATAAAAAACATCACTAATGGGTTTCACCTGAGTGATTACCTAAATTCAGACCAATTAATAAATACTAGATTATTAAGTCACTGTGGATGTTTTGTCTGTCATTTATACTGTGTTAATCACTTAACTTTATATAATTTATATTATAAATTTGTTTACAATAATATACCAACAATTTTAATCTATTGTTCCTAAATCAATTCCCAGTTTTGAGAAAGTGAATAATTAAATGGCCAGCGATGAAAAAAGGCTGAAAAGCACGCGGTAAGGATGCTGCATTGGGGGTTATTAGCAATGCGGGATTATTTTGCGGAGGCCACTGCGTAGGCGATGGGAGAAAGGGGAATAACAAAGGCCATAGTCCGTAAACGCGGTTGGCCCAAATCTAAATCTTTTTTCTATTCAGTTTTACATCATTGAATAAACAGGTAGACTTGCTATATTTCATATGGTTTATGTTGGTATCATAATTAGGGTTTTGAAGAAGTTCATTAACATTTTATTTTTGGGGGCCGTTGAGCATCAATTGCTCCTATAAGACTTACATATTTATATGAAAATGTTTGAATTTTTACTTAAAAGGTTTTAACGAAACATGTGTAAAAATTATTCGAAAAATAAAAAAAAGTGAAAAATTGTTTGTGTACGTTTAATATCGTTGTAAATTCAGTTTCATTTTAACGATGGATGAAGATCTGGAAGAATTTAAAAAGCTCAATCCCGGGATATTGATGGACCGTCGCAATTCGGTGTGTGACGAAGGTATCGTGCTAGACGGGAAAGATCCGCCGATCAAAACGTTTCCGAAGACTGCTGAACTGAAGAAAATGCTGAAGGAATCGGCTAGAGGTTTATTCATTTTCTCGGAACTGAGCGATGCCGTGTTGAACACAATTATCGACTGTATGTTCTCGAGGAACGTGATCAAAGGCGAGAGGATAATCACGCAAGGCTATCACTGCGATCTTTTCTACATCGTCGAATCGGGGATATTCAACGAGTGGATCATTCAACCGAACGGAAAAAAGATCCATATTGACACGTACGGCCCGGGCAGCTGCTTCGGCCAGATAGCACTGATGCACGGCATTTTACGCATGTCGACCGTCCGAGCGAAGTCCAACGGCGTCCTATGGCAATTGCAGCGCGGAAACTTCAAACAAATCGTCCTTCGTTCCTCGTACAAAAAACGGCTGGCCTACGATGTCATCCTGAACACAGTGCCGGAGCTCGCCCAACTCGACCAAGACGACAAACTCAGAGTGGCCGACTCCTTAGAGATGAAGTCCTTCCGTGACGGAGATACGATTCTGTCTCGTTCCTATCCGTCGAATGGGATTTACTTCTCTCTACCAGAAGGCGTTGTGTTAACGGTCTACGACAAACCCGGCTCCGAGAATTTCGTCGAGCTGAAAATAGGGGACATGTTCGGAGAAAGCTGCATGATGAACGTAGCTCCTCGGAATATAAACACCGTCTGTTCTTCAGGATCTTCGGTTTTAGCCTTCCTGCCAAAGTCCTGTGTAGAAACTTTACTCGGCGACTGCTTGGAACTGATCCTACAGCACACCCAAGTTAAAATAAAACTTCAAATGTCCGGTGCCGCACCCACATTGTTCTAACATAATTAATTAACCTACAATTCTATATAATAAAATTGAATTAGTTTAATTTGTGTTTTCATGGGTAACATCTGAGCAATATTTTTTTAAATTAAACCCTAAATAATTACATTTTAGAAGCTATATATTTCATGTAAGTTCTTCGTTGTTTGATGATCATAGTGATAACACGTAACTATAAGCGGAATTTCATTGTATTTCTAATAATTAAGTTCCGTATAGTTTGGATTAACTGACTATTGCTATAAAAGGAAGGTCTTCGGAACAAAAGGCTATATGATTGTAAAAAAATAATATAATCAATAAAATAATCACACATGATTTTTAATAGTACACATGTCGCAATCGTGAGTTTTGTACAAATAATATTCTACATATAGTTCCACTTAACAAAAATTTAACCTTCGAAAAGGAGCAACGCGATCCTACTTCTCTTAATCGTATTTCTTATTACTCACATCTCCCTCTCTCACACATACATACACACACAAAATTTCTCTACAGCTTTTCGATTTCTAACAGTTTATTTATTTTACTTTGTCTCTCTGTATATTTTTCTCTTTCTTTTGTTTGTCTCCCTGTTTTTCCGTTTTCCTTTTTGATGCTATTTGTTGTGTTACTTTCGACTTGTTATTAACTTTTTCTAGTTCTTTCTCTGAGCCTACCTGGGTTATTTTTTTCGTAGTCTTCAGCTATCGTGAGGTGGTAGAGAAGCGGCGTAGTTAGCCGGAGGTCGTGGGTTCGAATCCCGCTCGTGACAATAACTTTTTTATTTCAACCAAAGCCTTACATAAAAATATTAATTAATTGAAAGAAATAATTTGGTCAATAGACCACTAAATATAATAGGCAGTATCTTTTATTTTTCTTTAAAAATATCCGTAAACAACAAAACATACGAATTATAACGATTGCAAGTATTTACTAAAAAAACTAGGATGGCCACTTTTTTACTTCTGGAATATTTACCAGGTGATTGAATGGAATTCTTACTAGACCCAATATTTATTTTAAGTAAGCCCTATTTTATTACTAAAATAGGCGTGTAGGTTAGACCTTTTAAAAAATAAATAATTAAAAGCTATAGTTATATCTTATATTATTCTTTAAAAATATCCAGTAAACAACAAGCCATAAAAAATAACGAATGCAACTATTTACTAAAAAAACGAGGATGGCCACTTTTTTTACCTCTGGGATATTTACCATGTGATTAAATGGAAAATGGAATTCTTACTAGACCGAATATTTATTTTAAATAAGCCCTATTTTTTTATTAAAATAGGCGTGTAAGTTAAACTTTTTTTTAAATTAATTAAAAGCTAGTTATATCTTATATTATTCTTTAAAAATATCCAGTAAACAACAAAACATGAAAAAATTAAAACGATTGCAAATATTTACTAAAAAAACTAGGATGGCCACTTTTTTGCCTCTGGGATTATTTACCAAGTGATTAAACGGAAAATGGAATTTTTACTAGACTCAATATTTATTTTAAATAAGTCCTATTTTATTACTAAACTAGGCTTCTAGGTTAGATTTATTTTTTAATAATTAATATAGCTATATCTTATATTTTTCCGGAAAAATATCCAATAAACAACAAAACACAAAAATGATAACGATTGCAAGTATTTACTAACAAAATCTACGATTGCCACTTTTTTGCCTCTGAGATTATTTACTATGTGATTGAATGAATACGGAGTTCTTACTAGACGCAATATTTATTTTAAATAAGCTCTATTTTATTACTACACTAGGTGTCCAGGTTAGATTTATTTTTTAATAATTAATTTATATAGCTATTAGCTATATCTTTTATTTTTCCGGAAAAATATCCAGTAAACAACAAAACAATAAAAAATTATAACGATTGCAAATACTTACTAAAAAACTAGTATGGCCACCTTTTTTGCCTCTGGGATTATTTACTAAGTGATTAAACGGAAAATGGAATTTTTACTAGACTGAATATTTATTTTAAATAAGTCCTATTTTATTACTAAATTATGCTTCTAGGTTAGATTTATTTTTTAATAATTAAGTAATATAGCTATAGCTATATCTTATATTTTTCCGTAAAAATATCCAGTAAACAACAGAACACAAAAAAAAACCAGGATGGCCACTTTTTTTGCCTCTGGGATTATTTAATATGTGACTGAGAGAACACGGATTTCTACTAGACTCAATATTTATTTTAAATAACCCTACTTTATTACTAAACTGGGCGTCTAGGTTAAATTATTTTTTAAACAAAAGCGGTAGGTAGATCTTATATTGTTCCTAAAAATATCCAGTAGACAACAAAACATACAAATTATAACGAGGCAAGTATTTACTGATAAATTACGCTGGCTCTTTTTCCCCTGAGCATATATAGAACTGATAGATATCTCGTGTTTTGTTTCCGTGTGGAAATTGAGAAGGAATGCATTTACTAGTATGAATGTGTAGAATGAGATGGCTAATGGCGGAATACTAAGTACCCCATAGACCTTTTATTAAATTAGTTAGATTGGTAAAGGACGTAGGAGAAATATTGAGAACTCCACCACCCTAATTGAGTGAATCTTTTTGTAAACGGAAAGAATAGTTTTAAGTGAGTGAGAGTTTGTCTAGATTCTAAAACTAAAGCTTTTGAGGCTGAAATGACTTAACCTCTGGTAACCACTGGAACCTGAACTTTGAAGGTGGGGCTGATAGACCGAGGTCTGATTCTGAACTGGTAAAGTTTATATAAATAACAGAATAACAGAGAGAAAGGAGATAGAAAGAGAGAGAGAGAGGGAGGGAGGGAGGGAGAGAGAGGGAGAGGGAGAGAGAGAGGAGATAGAGAAATAGAGAGAGAGTGAGAGAGAGAAGGAGGGAGAGAGAGAAAGAGAAATGCAGAGAGAGAGGGAAGGAAGGAGAAAGAGAGATAAAGTTAGAGAGGAAGGAGATAGAGAGAGAGAGAGAGAGAGAGAGAGAGAGAGAGAGAGAGTGAGAGTGAGAGGGAGAGACAGAGAGAGAGAGAGAGAGAGAGAGAGAGAAAGAGAGAGAGAGAGAAAGGTATATGTAAATAACAGAAAGGTCGCGAGAAGTCATGCGTTCATTTCTGTTCGAGAGTGTTTCAGATTGTTGAGTTTGTTATGTTGAGTTCAAAGTGTTTGAATACTGTGAAGAATTGAGCTTAAATAAATCAGTGAACAGTTAGTTTAAATTATTGACGTAAATAAACGTATTTAAGAGAATATGTAATTTCACCCTCACTGATCCAACAAAGGACTAAATCTATCTCAATGTTATTCCGAAAAGTGAAGAAAACTCCATCGGTCTATAAAAGTTGAATAAGAGATCCGGTCGAATCCGGGCGGGCGAGAGTGAAAAACAGATCTCAAAGTGCAAACAACACCCGGGCAGGGGGTTTTAACTCTTAGCATCTGCTCGAGTGGGAATAAAAATTACGTAGTTTATGTAAGTGGATCTCCTCCCTTCCTCCCTTGTTATTTAATCGGAAACAATTCCGCCCAAGAGGATTTATCCCTTCTCACAGTGATTACCTAATCTGAGAAATTGTCCTCCCCCTCGCTCCATGGAGTCAAACTTTTAACGTGCTTTACTTCCGCTTCTATACCTCGTTTTAGGATTCGTTATAAAGTATTTCTCCCTGGGAGAGTAAATAAGTCTTTCTCTCTCTATAAACTGATAGCGCACAATTTATTCGACTGGAGTCGTATTAACACGTCAATCTTTAAAGTTTCAACCAGAAATGTTGACGTCTTTTAAAAGGAATAATTTATTACAATGCCATAGCCATTTCCCTTCACCAATAAAATACACTGTCAGGCAAAACATTCCACCCACCTGCAATATAACTTGATTTGTATATATTTTGGTACATTTATCAAAGTTTCAAGTTTCTTAATGCTTAAAATTGAGTCTTTGTGTAAAAATGAAAAGAAGGACAGAATTTTTTAAAATTAGATTTTTAATTAACATTTCAATGTCGCGTATTTCTTCCTCTTACTTTAATTACATCGCGAAGACGCCTCGGCATACTTCCTAAGTTTCTACGAAGAGAAATGTCTCTTGGCTAGAGATTAGAATATTCTTTACGAAGAGACCTTTTAATATAGTGGAGTGTAACAGGAAGTGATGAACGGCTCTTATTCGTCTTTTGAGGTTATCCCGTAAATGTTCGATGGAGTTAAAGTCTGGAGAAAGAGCTCCAGGCTAAGTCCCTGATGTTATGCTGTTGAAGGTATGTTTGTACTATGCGAGCGACATGTGGACGAGTATCATCGCGCATTAGAATAAGATTGTTGCTGGTTTCATCGAGGGATGGGCAGATGTTCCCATCTTTACTCATGAGCGTTGAGACCCATGAGGATCTTTTATGTCCGGACATATCCCCAAGAGGACCTCTCAGACGCCTAGTGCCCCGAAGGAACACCAGGAAGATTTTACATGCATGGACTTGTCACATCCCTTGGCTAGCGAGGTAGAGCAATACTAGCCAAGTTCAGAACTGCCCTGAAAAGTTTGTGGTTTCCAGCATAGCCTCTCGGCTATGCCTTTCACCACCCCCGGAGAGATAGAGAAGGCACTCTATCTCCGGCTCCGGTTAGCCGGTACCCTCCAGCTAAGGTACAATTTATTAGCAAACCACGACCACCACGAGTCCAACCTCAATTAGCAGAGCCGCTTGGGTGCTGTACTCCCGTAGTTCAGATTTGTTTTTAAGGTGGGGCTGATGGGCCACCCGGGAGATCTTGCAAGCTCCCTACTGATGCACCCGTTGCCTGAGCGGTGTGGGTTCAGTAACTCAGGAACCCTCTGCCAAAGCAGAGGGGGGAAGGAAAGGAAAAAAGGAAAAGGTAAGGAAGGATAGGGAAGGGAAGGGGATTTTGCCTCCATCATTGGTTACCCCCAGGCACCGGAGTTGATGGTAGGACTTGCCTGGGCCCAGAGGGAAGGTTACCCTATGGGGTATCGAGGATGGGCATGTTCTT